TGGGCCCTGCTCAGGGCAGTGAGACAGCTGTTGGTGCCCATGGTGCCCGTTCCCTCTGGGCTGGCAGTGAGTGGGGCCATGGCATGAGCTGTGACAGCCCTTGTGAGCTGCCACTGTCCCCTCAGGTGCTCAGGCAGCCACACAGGGGATTGGGCAGGAGGCACCTCAGCTTTCCCCAGTGAGCAGTGACTGTTTTTTCTCTCTCTCTCTCCAGGCCAGGAGTCTGCTCTATCAGTTCCACCTGCTCCCCCGCATCCCCTGCAGCCTGCACGAGCTGTGCAAGCTGTGTGGCACAGGAATGTGGGACAGTGGCTTCATCCCTGCTGTGGAGTGCTCCGGCCACCACCCCGAGTCCGAGAGCTGCCCCTACGGAGGGATGGTGGAAATGGCTTCTCCTAAAGCCGGGACTGAAGGCAAGAAAGGCCCCAAAACACGGGATGTCTTTGCCTTCCGAAAATAGCTGAGAGGAACAGGGTGTGACRGCCAAAGGGAAGGGAAGGGCAGGAAGGATGTGCATAGGAAAAAATGCTGAAGACAAAAATGGAGGAATACCTTGTCAAGACTCCTGAGAAGATGGAAAGGTGGGGAATGGAAGAGGAATTAAATTGCTCTGTATAGGGAAGGTTTCATTGCACAGGTGGTGCAACCTGAGCAAAAGGCGTGGACCCAGGAACGGTGTTTGGGTTTGATTTGTTAGAAACAAGCTTTTCTAGGTSTTTACAAGGATTTTTTTTTATTTTGCCTCTGGGACTGGACTGGTTAGCAACCAGAACTTGGTGAGAGAGCTCTCCAGGAGCCAAGGCAGTGCTGGTGGACAGGAGCAGAGCCCTCACCCAGAGCACACCACACACTCTCTGCTTCAACCAAAAGTGCAGCTTCATGGCTTCTTCCTAAAGCCATTAAAGCCATTTTAATTATAATCTGCCAAAAATAAAACTGCAGACCGTTGGGATTGCAGGGAAGGTGTCTGCTTTGTCAGCAAGGAAGGACTGGTGACCTCGAAGCCTTGTCTCAGGCCTTTTCTGGTTTTATAGGATTAACTGGCTGGCATGATTTTTTCTCCATTTGTACAGAAAATGTACAGCCCCAGGTCTCAGAGCACTGCTACTCTGAGTCAGGGAATTTCACAGACACTGCCCAAAGTTTTCTAATTCACGACACATTGGCAAGAAATTCTTCCCTGTGAGGGAAGTGAGGTCCTGGCACAGGGTGCCCAGAGGAGCAGTGGCTGCCCCATCCCTGGCAGTGCCCAAGGCCAGCTTGGACAGGGTTTGGAGCACCCTGGGACAGTGGGAGGTGTCCCTGCTCATGGCTGGGGTTGGGACAAAATGAGCTTTAAGGTCCTTTCCAACCYGAACCATTCTGTGATTCTCTGACATTACAGCAAAGCTGTTTCTCTATGCTGACAACTGCAGACTTTAATACTTTAGTTCTGTTGTTTACAGTGTGTTTCCCATTGTGTTTCCTTTGGCCCTCTCACTTAGTGAATATTTACTGTCCTTGCCTGTCACTGTCACAGCCTGTGGCACAAACACTCCATGTGGGTTTTAGGCTCTTCATCAATGCCAGGGCTGCCCCYGTTCCACATCCCAAAGTGAAAATGAAACTTGCCTTTGTTGCAGTCGTTTTGGCTGAGCTCTGTCTGATCAAGGTTCCCCTCCAGGAGTTTTTCAAAGGACAGCATTTCTCCCCTTGTTTGCTGTAATTTTTTCCAGCCAGAAGTGGAGCTGGGGCCTTGAGCCCTGTTGCCAAAGGTTCTTACCAAAGGCGTGTCCTGAGCCAGCATTTGTGCCAAACAGAGCCAGGGGAGCAGTTTCTTTGTGGATGCAAAGGAGGTGGCAGTGGGGCTGTGCCTCCCCCTCTCCTCCATCACTGTCCAGCACGTGTGCAATCACCAGGCCCTGCTGGCTGGGTTCCTGCCCCTGACAAGCACATTTCCTTCCCAATTCTTGAGCAAAGCCTTACCCACTGGAGCCTGGAGCCTGCGTGCCCGTTCTGCCAGGAGTGGGGTGCTCTGGTGGCATTCCTTGGTGGAAGGAGCCCTGAGCTACTGAGGCAACATGCCACGGGCTGCTGAGTGGCAGAAAGACAGCTCAGCTCCTGATTTGTGTGCCTTTAATCCAAAGGATGAACCCTTCCCATGGATGAGAGCAGTGGGAAATCCACTGAGAATGGCCTGAAAGGCCGGGCTGCAATGGCACCAGGGCTGCAGGTTTGAGCTGGGCTTTGCAGGGACACCTCCTCCAAGGGCTGGGGCCAGGGACTTTGTGGAGATTTATGATGTTTCAGTGATAATAAAAGTTTGTGTGAGGCTTCTGTGTGTCCATTTGCTGTGCAGGATGGGGACAGCACTTGGCCAGACACCGTCCCCAGTGTCACCCCTTGWGCCACCCCTTGGCAGGCACTGGAGAAGTGCTGGGTGCTGGGAATGGTGGCTGTCCCCAAACTCTGCTGATGGCAGCCTGGGGACCTGCAGCACCACTCGATGGCTCCACACAGATGGAAACTCCAAGTGGCAGTGGCTGAATTCAGGTCAGAAAAAGCACACGGCAGGAAATGGCAGAAGCATCGTCCTGCAGAGCCTTGGTGGCACAGGGACAGGTGCCAGCTCCCCAGGGGGACAGCAGGAGCCTGGCACTGCTCTCTGCCACCTGCCAGCCCCGTGTGAGATGGGCATCACCAGGAGGCCTTGGCAGCACTGTGGTTCCTCCTGGTGCCAGGGCAGCCAGAGCTTCTCAAGAGTGCTGGGGCAGCTCTGCCAGGCTGGGGTGGGCATGGGGCAGCTCCTGGTGGGCTCACGGGGTGCTGGGCACAGGGGAACAGCCCCTCCTCACCTCCCAGAGCCTGCAGTGGGCACTGAGGCACCAGCACACCCTCCCAGAGGAGCCAGAGCTGSTTTTGCTGCAGCACTCGTTCCCAGCCAGTAAAAGACAATAGGAAGAGATGAAGTAGATAATTTGGAGCGTTATTTTTCCACTATTAAAATGTCATTCAGCAATGTGGAAATCGCTCAGGATTGGTTTAGTTAAAAAGACTCTGCAGTGCAGTTTTCCAGCATGTGGAATAAGATGGGCTCTGTTTGAAGCTCTGGGTKGGCATCACKGGGCCWRRTTGCCACCCTTGGCCACTCTCCCATGCCCRRTTGCCACCCTTGGCCACTCTSCCATGCCAGCTGTGCCCTGAGGGTCCCTGTGCCAGCAGGACACTCCAGATGTGTGTCCCTGCACTCCCCACTGAGCTCCCTCTGCCCTGGCACACCCTGACCCCGCTTTGCCATGGTCACAAAGGGACACAAAGGGACAGAGCTGGGCCCAGAACACTCCTGAGGACCAGCAGTGCCAGTCCCAGTGACCCCATTCCAGTCTCAGCCTGTCCATTAACTTGTGACACCACTATTTAACTCACACGGGAGATCCTCAACCTTGTCTGAGGAGATTCAAAGTCTGTGAAGCCAACCTGGAGCCCTCTGGCAGTGCCTGGGATAGGATTTGAAGCAGCTTTGGGATTTCCCTGCAGTGCAACGATGGCCACGAGTCACACATTGGACAGGGCAGGGCATTTCCAAGATGGGAATCCCAAGACTGTCCTTTGTGCCACTCTTTGCTATCTGAAAAAAMGACCCCAAGGAAGTAAAAAGCAGCMRAGCTTCGGTCCCTRCAGAGGGAGAACGTGGAAACAGAAACAGTGACCCTCACGTGGCATCTCCTCGGTCGCTGCCCTGAGCCTGCATTAGCGGCAGCTGAGCAGCCCAAAATAGCCCCTCACGAAGGTAAATAGTCAATGTAAGCCTCTTTAGGCTCAGCCTTGAGCTGGCACATCCTCGTGCATCCCGGGATGAAGGGGAGAAGGGGATCAGGGAGGAACAGAAACTGAGTCCTGTGTCCCGTGGTAACGCTACACCACAATCCCACCGGGAACCCGACCCTGCTCTGGAACCTGAGCAGAACAGAGCAGAGCTCAGCCCAGCACCTCGGGATGGAGTCTGAGCCTGTCCCGGACACCCGGGCAGCTGCAGAGGTGCCACAATGTCCCCAGGCTGGGAGGGGACCCGGAGCTGTCCCAGTGTGGGCAGGGGTAAGGATCAGTGGGTCAGCTTTGTTTGTCCTTGGCATTGAGCTCTGACCACACAGCTCTGGCCAGACTGCTGCTGCACTGAGCAAATCCTCACCTGGGAGCAGAGCTGGGGCGGGTGGAGGGGCTCAGTGCTGCATCCCACTGTTTGGATGTGGCTGCTTGGATGTTTTGTCAAGGGACGCTGCCTGTCAAATGAAAAATTACAGCTCACAAGAACAAAGGGACTCACCTGAGTTATTACAAGCACTAAAGAATTTCAAACCCAGTGTCGCCTGTCCTCCTGAGCTGCCTGATTAATCCCAGCTCACTCCACTTGGGCCATAAAAATAGACCAGTCCTGCCGGCTGGAGCTCACGGGCACATCCTGCCCCGGGCACTGGCCAGCCCTGCCCGAGTGTGGCACTCCGGGCTCTGCACACCCTTTCTTTCGCTCATTTAAACACAAACACRGCTCTCGATGAGGTTTTGGGGCACCTGGAACAAGAGCAGAGGCTGAGGCAGAGCTGAGCTCAAAGCAGGGAGCGGCCAGGCTGGCACTGCTGGCAGCAGCAGCAGCACGGGGTTCAACCCCACAGCAATCCCTCCCCAAAATACAGACATGGGCACAGCACAGGGCTCAGCCCCACAGCAATCCCTCCCCAAAATACAGACATGGGCACAGTTTGGACATCCCAGCAAAGGGCCCCGGTGCCAGCAGGATTTTGGAGCTCCTTGTCAGCCCTGAGGGATCCTCCAGCAGCCCCAGCCCTCCCGTGCCCAGCAAAACTCATCCCTCTGCATCCGGAGAGTTCAGGCTCTGCCAAAGCTCCTGCTCAGGACTCTTCCTGGGATGTTCGGTTTKGTTTGGTTTGGGTTTGTCTTTCAGAAACCACAAACAAGTTCAGCTGCTTCTGTCTGCGGCTGGGGCTTGACTAACCCTGGTGGGGGCAGAGGC